GTTCATCGTAGCACTCATGTGTGGGTCCGCACAGATTCCTACAACAGCCCCAATACTCGTCATTTTCATCGCCAATCTTTCCACTCTTAGGATCACAAACTCGTGTTAAATACTCCGGGGTGATTTTGGCACACGCGGCCCCGTATGAGCCCAGTTTGTACAGCTTCTGTATGCCGTGACTCATGGCATAGACGGGCATAATATTGGCCACACCTTCCAAAGCGTCGGCCGCTTTCGGCGCTTGCATTGAGACGAAGAACACAATCATTGAGAGAGCGATACCTGAGAGCAGGTATACGACGACCAGAACTGCATAACCAGTTGAGGGCTGTTTGAGTCGAAGTGAGAACAGATAGGCTAACGGTATGGCCGACAGACCAAACGCAAGGAACAGTATGAATAGTCCGCCCGCATTGCTCGCTGTTTATGGGAATTAAAATTTGAACATGGTTAATTTATTCAATTTATAATAGGTATAATATAATTAAAAACAAAAAATATTAATCTTAATGAATTGTTAATCGTATTGTTAATCAATACTAAAATTACTAAATTATAATTAACGTTATCTATCAATTTACTGCACATAAAAGGGTAGTAAAATAGCGAGTGTAATAAAATAATTAAGTAATAAATTATAATGATAAACTTAAATCGTTAATATAATAGTGTGAATCAAAGCATATTGGAATAAATTAACCAAGGTTAATGCTTACCATTGCCCATGAAGATTTTATCGAAATCAAAAATGGCGAATACAATGAAGAGTATAATACTGGCCAACAAATGGTTAATGATATCAAAGAGATAACTCGCCGCCCAAAACGTGTGAACAGATATGCCATTCATTAACTGTAATAGTTTTGATTGAGTGATGCGCTCATGGATTGGGAACAACGCATACGAGGCGCCGATAAATGGCACCGTTAGGGGCACTAACAGTAGACACGTGACCAGCATGGTCATTTGAACCATAAACATGGTATCTGAACTTTGATCCAGTAATATCGGATGGTTGTATAGTGTGATCGATGGTTTGTCATTGAATTTCTGTTTCAATAGTGTTTCGTATATGAAATTGATGGACACCGGGAGTGAATGAGTGGCCTCTTGATTATACCAGGGGTTGAGTGTTAGCGATTGTTCGCCGGTCTCTGTATCAGTGGTTGTGTTGATCTGAGCGCCGACTAAATACGTGTTGATATATTTGTTTATATCGGCCCCTCTATTGTCAGATAGAGCCCAATCGTTGGGATCTCCTGTGTGTATACATTACATATTAAGTTTAGTTTATTAGCTTAGTTTAGCTCATTATGTAAATTAAATTATAAGCTAGATATCCTGGATAATATAGTTTTATCACTAATATCACTAATACATCTCTCACATTCGAAATTTATTTATTAGTAACTATTAATTATAATTAATTAAATCAAATGTTAATTTAAGATAAATCAATTAATTGATTGCAAAACACAAACCTGTGATTTCTTTTGTGGTCATGTCTTGAGTTTTTGAAACTTCAATGTATTTATTGTTAAACGGTTTATTCGCAGACACAATGAAACCCTCAGTCGAGCCATACATTTTCAAATTCAACGCAAGGTTTTTGGTGGACGACTGAATAGTTGTCTTCTTCAGCGACTGATCCAACAATAAGATACACATGAATAGTATGGCCGGAAGTACTGTCTGGAGGACAATCATTGGCCAATACCTCTTCGCGTAGTGGAAACGCTTCAGCAAAAGTGCCCAAAACTGTTGTGCCTTTAGTTTATTACCAGTATTTCGACGGATATTATGCGACAATAAGTCCGCGTCTTGCAGTGAATTAGTGGATCCTTTGCTCATGTCTTCGACAGAAGACGTGTCGCCGTATTCATTACCGACTCGGAGGAAGACGTCCTCCATTGTGGTGACAGTCAAGCCATAGGTTTCAATGTTTAACTCGTATTTTCTGGCCTCTAAATGCGTGAAGAGTTGGATCAGTTGACCATTGGTTTGGCTTTGTGTGTCAATCCTCTCGCGTTCGTCGCTGTCTTCCAACGAGTATATGATCTCTGAATTGATTTCACTCTTAATGTCTGCGTTTGGCATTATTTTGCGTATAATATTGAGCACCAATTGGCTATCGAAGTGCCGGTTCTTTGCGATCCGGAGGTGATATCCGGCGCCGAAAGCCTTTTTCAAAAACATAGGACTTCCATAACATTTCACTTCTCCTTCACTCATAATAGCGATCCGATCGGCCAATGCCTGGACAAGGATGAGAAAAGTATATCGTTATTATAAATATAACACTAAGGTAATAATAACTTACATCCGCCTCTTCCATGTAATGAGTGGTCAATAATATAGTTCTTTCGGATCTGATATTCTGTAAGACATCCCACATATGTCTTCGCGCCTCCGGATCCATACCAGAGGTCGGCTCATCCAGTATTAGGATCTCTGTATTGCCTATCATTGCTATACCGAGCGATAGCTTACGTTTCATACCTCCCGATAAATCGTTAGACATAGTGTTTGCCTTATCTGTCAAATCAACCAAAGCTGTGATTTTTTGCACTTCACTGTTGACTTGAGCCCAGGGATAGCCCTTCAACACAGCGTACAGTTTCAAGTGTTGACTCACATCCAACTCACTGTACAAAATGTTTTCCTATAGAAATAACATTGAATTAAATTTTATTACAATTAATTAGTAATAAGCAATATATTCACTCATACCTGCGGACACAGACCCAGACTCCTCCGGGCCTTTCTAGTCTGTTGTCTGATATCGTATCCATCAATATATGCTGTGCCCGAAGTGGGAGGGAATATACCGGTAATCATATTCATAGTAGTGGTCTTTCCGGCGCCGTTATGGCCCAACAGTACAGTTATTTGTCCGCCATATATGTTGAGAGACATATCGCCGACAGCCGTCTTATTGCCAAACATTTTATGCAATTTCTCACACTTTATGCCAACCCTTGTGTTCAACGGCTCTCTTTCAAAGTGCTTCAAATTTTTATCCATATTGTCTTTTGAATCGTAACTTTCGCTAGTTTTACCCCGTTTTGGAAACCAATACGAGGGTAAAAAGGGATAGTACACAGGCTTGGGTATACCAAACTGCCATGGCCATACATTGTCCACGTACCATATTAGCAAGACTATTTATTATTTTTAAAATTCAATTACTTTATATAATATTAATCGTTAGTATTTATGACATACCGTAAAATAGCACAGAAACTAATTGCATTAATAGGACTAAACCACCGGTAAAATCACCATATTTTGGCGCATCTGACCATAAATTGCCCCAGGACAATCCCTGACCTTTTGCCTCCCATTCGCTCATAACTGAGAAAAACCATTGCATGGCTGAGTTGGGTAAAAAGCAGGTAAGTATTAGCCACCCTTTGTTTGAACCAACGTCAATTGTTGTGTTAAACATAGGGCTGAGTAAACCCATTGGCAACGTATGCGAGATCTCAAACAACACAACACTGACCACTACACCGATCACCGGGCGATTAAACACGGTGGTTAATAGCATACAACTCAATATGGTGGTTATGTTAAATAGCACCAGGGCGATTAACAACACAAACGCGCTGCTATAGACAACGTAGGCCAGGCCACCGAAACCGATGCAAAAGCATATGATGAAAAAACATGATTGTATAAACATTATGATGAAATAGTTGATGAAATGCGAGCCCCAAAACACCCAATCACTCAAACCCATCATTTTGAGCATTTCTTTAGCTTTAGCCGCCTTTTCATCGCAAATACGTTTCACAATCAATGGACACATTATTATATAGCTTGTGATGACTACGATTCCCAACATTTCTACCATGCTTCCACCTATAAATTTGTTAAGGTAAATGAGTTTAGAATTTGAGGTTGATATACAGATTCTACATATTGTATATTAATGTATAAGTAATTTTATAAATGTTTAGGATCTTAAACTGGTAAAACAAAATTAAGCATGTCAGGTTATAAATACAAACTGTACTTATTAAATAAATAAAATTTAAACTAATACTAATAATAACAAAAGGCACCTACCACCAATCGATGAGACAGTTTTCAAATACCGTGGATAAGGAAGCCTATGATTCACAACAAGGGACACACCGGTAGCCGAGGGCTGACTATCGGCCCGATTGGCCAAATGGTCGGCAAACAGTTCGTACACAGCCAACTGAACACGTGCAAATTCGCTCTCATATTCCTCACTATTATCATAAAACGAGGGACCGGGTCTGTTGTTTCTATCGGGGTGTTTCATATTGACTAGATCATTCCAAGAGTAGCCCCTACTTCGGATCTTGAGTTTTAACGCATAGGGGTCGCCACCTTGGTCCAAAAACACCAGACCAAACAGCCGGTAACTGTCCATCACGTACAGGCCGTGCTCGAGCTCGGCCTCCGTAGCGTAACTGCCAAAGCTTTTAATCGAGTACCCGGAGTCCCACCTGTCCTCACCCGTGATGTTATATCGCTTAACGAACTTGCTCATTATTTTATTGGCCACTTCGCTGGTGTTGGGCGAGTAGTATATGTCGTAGCCGTGCATGTGTTCCAGCAAATTGCTCATGTTGTACGCCTCGGAGGGCTCGTAGTACGTGGGCTTCTGCCACCCGGTGCTGCCACTGCCGCCACTGCCATCGCCGCCGACGTCCGAGTGCTTGTCGTCCAGTGAGTAGTCGTTGACGTATACGCCCGCGAGTGCGGCGCCCAGTATTATAGGCAGTAACAGCTCAAACAGGCCGGAGATCCAGTGTTTGCGCCGAACGATCCAACTTTTCCATAGTAATACACCAAGCTGCCTTATTACAAGTGGTACCATGGTCGATTTTGACAATGTTAATTACTGGTGGCAATGTTTGCAATTAGTGTTGTGTCTTATTATACAATAATTGTTAGTAAACAAAACATTTAATTGTAAAATTATTTAAGGTCACTTATTAAAAATATAATTATTAAAATGTTAACAATATGATATATGCTGAGAAAAAATGATATTACACCACTTGTAAAGCCTTTATATAACCTTGTTATTCACAGTCTCATGAGTGATATGATAGTTGGTATTTAATAATTTACTGATGCTATTGTATAGCCTTAAATACCCGGTGCGTCAATGAGTTAGGTCGTGGTGGTTATCATCGCAGGTATGGTTACAATGAATCACTAGTTTTATTATTACTGATATTATTAAAACATATAAAATGTTTCAAAACCCGATTCAAGTGATTCATTTAGTTATGCATTGAAAGTGTATTAATTATTTATAAAGAGTGATAACAAACTTAATGTGGTATTGCATTAACCATAGGTAATATTAAGGTCTTTTAAATGTTTAAATAGCGCTTATGTTTAAATAGTGTTATTTGAGTAATTGAGTTATTGCACATATGACATTTATCTAAATTGTAAAATTTTATAATAACACTTTAATAGCACTTTAAACTTAAAGTTTAGTTAATGACAAGTGATCAACATAATCTATTAATTAAATATTAACTTTTATTATAATTGTAAAATATTATAAGAATTTTGAATACAGTATTTAAGTAATAGAATCTAGACATATTTATGTAAAAATATATTATAAATTATAAACATAAATGTTATTGCATATATGACATTTATCTAAGTTGTAAAATTTTACAATATCACTTTGGTCAATGCATAGCAGTCTTTTAATTAAATCAATTTTTTGCAAAATATAACATTATCATTTAATGAGACCTCTTGGTCAACGATGTTTTTATGTAAAAATTAAAGTTTTATTTATTACATTTATTATATATCAAAAGATCTATTAAAAATTTATAAATAAAACTAGTTTATCTAGGCATAATTATACAAAATACAGAATTTATATGCCTGTAAGTACAATAAATAATACAGTGCGGTGCGTTAACTCATACAGTGCGTTCATATTTACAACACATATATGCAACATTATTTAATAAATAGAATAACCTTTATCAAATAGTTATGTATGAATCATGAAACCTTATCAAATGTCACTTTATGGTTAGATTGTGTTTATAATTATAGTATTATATGTAAAGCATTGATTTGAAGTTAAATAACTTTGTTCCGAAAGCGGAGAACCTC